CCTTATCAGCCTCAAATACATCGATCGGAAATTAATGGAAACCCAATTAAATATTATGTTATAAAAAATATACACATACACATACAGGATGGGACTGTACCCGGTTGTTGATGAAGTAGCAAAAACACTGGAAACCGTAGATGGGTTTCGACTGCGACAGATATGCGTGATCAAACAACAACTAGAACGTGAACGCGATACGCGGTCGCCATTACAGAAAAAAATATCACAGGGCTGTCAATTCATTGGACGGTGTTGACAGCGCTCTGATTTCAGTCAGCATCGGATAAGGCGCGGCAGGTGTCGGGTTATTATCCACCATCGTGCCTGCACCCATGGTGCTAGGCATCGAAATAACATCCGGAGTGGTAGGGTTGATGGGATTGACCCTTAAGTTCGTTTCTCGCAGACTGCAACGTAAAGCATTGAAACACGACAAAATTAGAATTCTAGCCGAAGCGAAGTTAAACACGATAGACAATCATATTTCCACCACGCTCACCGACTCTAAAATCTCTGAGGAAGAGTTTCGTTTGGTACTCTCAGAAATCGCAAAATATCACAGGATGAAGCAAGAGATTCGAGCCGAGTTTGTAAAAACGCTGCCATCAGCGAAGACGAGAAAAAAAAAGTTCATGGAACAAGGGAAGCAACAGACCCGACAAACCTTCATTACGAAAACCAAACAAATCATAGAAGGAGATTCGCAATAAACTGTTTCGCAGACATCAACATAACGTAGCCAGCCAGCCAACGCTCGCTCAGTACAACCTAGACGATCCGGGGGGACTGCCGAGAGCTGCGGTATGATTTAGCTCCAGACAGCTCTCGCCTCGCTACTTTATAACAAGTATGTAAATACGTTGGAGGTGAGATGAGGTGAAATTGGGTTTAACGTCGTGCTTGAGAATATTTCGCTCATATGACGACGTGCATGCGTGTGTATGTGTATGTGCGGCTGCTTGTACTAGTCCAGACTTAAGCTGGTTTTATAGTGCTAGCCCACTGAGATACCATGCCTCAGTTAAGCATGAATACCCTACTCAGACACATTATACTGACTCCGAGCCGACCAGGCCTTGTTGTACCCATTAATGCCGAGCGCCAGGCAGGGACCAACAAGTACCATATTTTAACGTCTCTTGGTATGACGCGGCCGGGGATCGAAACCGCGACCTTCCGCACTCAAGGCGGACGCTCTAACCACTACACCACGGAGGCGGTCGTTAATACTTTGGATAGTTAGCCTTTCGCCAGACAGACCGCATGCTCGCTCAAAAGGCAATATTTCCCAAACTGTTACACCGAATTTCGTGAACGTTTTGCATGCACATCCGCGAGTAGTATACACAATAGCGGAACGGGATTAGAGACTTAACAAAGGCTTAATTTGGAAAATTAAGCCTTTGGAAGGACCTGATCCCGTTCCGCTATTGTGTATACTACTGAGGCAAACGACCTCGCTATCCGAAGCCATGTAAATCTCTTAAAATGCCATATTTCCACGTAGTGTCATATGCCTTTTCAAGATCAAAAAAGATAGACACAGCGTGTTGTTTATTAATTAGAGCTTTTTTAACAAATGATTCCAAACGCACTAAGTGATCGACAGTACTTCTATTTTTACGGAAACCACATTGTATATCTCTTATAAGGGTATTTGTTTCCAAGTACCAAACAAGTCGATTATTTATCATTCATTCCATGGTTTTGCAAACACAGCTAGTTAGTGAAATAGGTCTATAACTTGACGGATCTGTATGATCACGTCCAGGTTTAGGTATTGGTACTACTATAGCGTCACGCCATGAGGGAGGAAAGTTCCCTGATGTCCAAATATCATCAAAAATATTTAAAAGAGCTCTAGACAGGATTCTGGTAAGTGCTTCAGGAGTTGATAATGTATGTTATCAGCCCCTGTAGCAGTATCGTGAGCTTGTTCAAGAGCAGTATGGAGCTCAAGCTCATGAATAGCAAATAGTTCATTATAGTCTTCCCCATTATCTGAATTGAAATTAATAGGTTTCTTTTCTTCTTGCTTTTGATATTGTTGGAATTTAGGCACATAATTTAAAGAGGAAGAATGTTTAGCAAGGGTTTCACTCAGTTTATTCGCAATATCTGATTTATCAGTAAGTAATTGATCTCCATGTTTAAGATGATGGACGCTAGATTTAGTACCTTTACCTTTAATTTCCTGTACCATGTTCCATACTTTGGACATGGGCGTTCGAGAATTTATTTTGGACACATAATTTTGACAAGACTGGCGTTTATTCTGTTTAAAGGTACGCCGCGCTTTAGCATTTTAAATTTTAAATTTATTTAAATTATGTACCATAGGGTGGCAACGGAAATAATGTTCTGCTTTTTTCCTTGCCTTCCTAGCTTGTTTGCACTCATCGTTGAACCAAGGTTTTCGAATATGTGGAATTGCAGAGGACTATGGTATACACTCATCAGCTATGGTATTCAGTTCAGCAGAAAAACAATTGATAGCATCAGGAACATCAATAAAAAGTTCAGGTTTACGGTTTGTAGCACACAGTGTTTCATATAAAGCCCAGTTAGCCTTTTTAAAATTCCGCCTTGATGATGGAGGTACATCAGATGGAGTTACAGGTTTAGGTATAGTAGGAAAATGGTCACTTCCACAGAGGTCATCGTGGACTGACCATTCAAATTACTTTAGTAGTTCTGAATTTGTGACTGACAAGTCGAGAGCAGAATAGGTTCCTGTACCAGGGTGTAGATATGTGTTTGAACCATCATTATAAATACATAAATCATTATCTGAACAACACTCCTCCAGTAATGTACCTTTAGCGTTTGTATTTGCACTACCACAGAGTGGGTTGTGCCCATTTAAATCTCCCATAATAATACAGGGCTTCGGGAGTTAGTCATATAGAGCTAGAAGATCAGTTTTGTGAAACGTTGACGACGGAGATATATATAGAGAGCATAAAGTAAACGCAACGTGCAAAGTTAGTTGCACTGCAACAGGACTAAGAGCTGCAATTCATTGAAATTAGTCCTTAGTCCTCTGCCATTCCACTGTATGATAGTATTTGGATAACCCCCCGCGCTTGTTTGTTCGGCGACAAGCTGTGTGCCCTAGAACGGACGTTTTCAGACACGTCCATCTCTTCAAGTGATCCATATCTGTTGAACAATTGAATTTTATTTTTTGACCCTTTCTGGGCTCTGCCACTGAGCTTTTTTCAAGGAATCTGGCTTTTTATTCTTGGTTTTAGTGATACCATGTTGAGAACTTGTTGACGGCTGAGAAGAAGTTTCAGGATCAGGGGATGTCTCTAATTGTATTTGAGATGTATCTGGCAGTGATTCTCCAAATCAAATTTGTGCAATTACATATATATATATAGTCCATGCATAGGGCTTGGCGTGACCAGCCGATTGATAGAACCGGGCCAGTTCTACCACCCGTCTAGGTGAAGTCAGGGCCGAAGTGGTATGTTGGGCAAAGGAACACTGTTCCTGGAACCAGTGCCCTCAACCACCAGAATCCCTTCCTCCACCGACACAGGGGCGCAACCTACGGCAAACGGGTTGGTGTACCAAATATACCCCCGGGTCCACAACGGGGGGTTGAAGAGCGCTTAGCGTTACCCAGCACCCACCGCGAGGAGGTGGCTCTTCACGGGTGCCGGATTTGTTGTCAGATCACGATGCTTGAAGATTGATGAGGCGTGTAAGTGTGATGCACATGTCGATCGGGGATATGATGAGAAAACACTACGGGAGAGCTCGTATACGTAGCTTAGTGTAGCGACAAGTCAACATCAAAATGATTCATCGGGATAGGAGTAACACAGAGATACCGTTATCACAGATTTGTAACCGAATGCTATGTATCACGAATAATAAATGCAACTATTCGCTCAGTGTTAAATGTCGATAATATGGCGTGTTAAGCGAGCACCAGATCCCGATAAACTACGATCGATGTGTGTACACGAAGACGTTATGCAGATATGGGCCAGGGTTAGCTTTCCCAGTTGTTCCGCCGGCAGTAAAGGGGTACCCGATAGGATGAGATGCAATGGTACTGTAAACTCCTCACAGGTAACTTGGGTTGTATATTGTAGATGAGAATGAATATCAATTTCACTCTGACCCGTCTGCCGTGGTATTATTGGTGTAGCTTTCTGGGCATTGTCCTGTTTGTTGTCGACAAATGGCAGAGTGTAACAATCAGTTTTGTTTTTTGCTGTTCAACGCCCCACTCAGCACTTTTTCAAGTATATGATGGCGGACTGTAAGTAAACGAGTCTGGACCAGACAGTCCAGTGTCTGACATCATGAGCATCGAACTTCGCATGACCTTCATTATCAAAGTCAGCGAACTTGACAATACAACCCCGTTAGTCGCCTCTTTCGACAAGCATTTGTTGCTGAAGACCTAGTAGTAGTAGTAGTAGTAGTAGTAGTAGTAGTAGTAGTAGTAGTAGTAGTAGTAGTAGTAGTAGTGAGTGAGTGAGTTTCATTTTACGCCGCATTCAGCAATATTGCAGTATATGGCGGCGGTCTGTAAATAATCAAGTCAACCAGACAATCCAGTGATCAACAGCATGAGCATCGATCTGCACAATTGGGAACCGATGACAGCGAGCCTGAAAGTTGTAGTAGTAGTAGAAGTAGTAGTAGTAGTAGTAGTAGTAGTAGTAGTAGCAGTAGTAGATCATTTTACTGTAGTAGTATCAGATGCTATAACACGTGACCAATAAGCAGTCTAACTTGTATGTACATTAAATTCGTTGTCGACTATAAAAGGAAGATTGTTAAGCTTTGGAAACCTCAACGCTACTCGCGCACAAAGAGGCTGCGCTGGCGAGGTTAATCAGGTTCGTTACGGGCAGTTACACCAGGCTACCCTTCCAATATCTGGGCCAGCGTAAGGCTGATGATCCAAACATCTCAAGCACTGCATCGATTTGTATAAGCCGTTTGTTGGTAACTTTGTGTAGAAGGTTCCGATCAATGTGGGCATATTGATCACAGTGTTTGACCTTGATATGTGACAACATAAAACGGATACCTTATAAAAACTAACCTGTGATATGCGTCAGCATTCGTATTTTGTAAACATTCAAAATGAGGTTTAGAATGACAGGTGGAGGCCTGCTGTGTGTGTGCACCAACAGAGATGAAAGGGTATAAAGAAACATGGAGCTTGGCTCTTTGATCAGTCGACCAGTTTGCTGTTAAACTATTTTCCAGCGTGAGCACAATATATGCAACCACTACACGACTCGTGAATAATTGATGTCCTGGCCTAGATGGAACGTCACACTTCAACAATCACGGATTGGGACCCCCTACTCGCAGTGTCTTGTCCTCCGACAGACGACAGTGTTGACAATATGCCGGAGCGGACGTCTCCTCTCCCTCTCAGTGACAACCCCGACGTAGAGGATGTGGACAGCCCGGGGGTGAGACGAGTTCTATGGGCACCCGACTCAGGGTGGAGGAAAGCCATGTGGACAAGCAGACTGGACTACATACTGACCCTCGTGGGGTACACAGTTGGGCTGGGGAATTTGTGGAGGTTCCCGTTTGTGTGTCAGAGAAATGGAGGAGGTATGTACAGTATAGAGGAATATAACACATCTGTTGTATTGATGAAAACTTTCATTGAGGGCATCGACCAGGTTACTGAGTGCAGAGACGACCCCCCCCCCCCCCTGTAATTTACATTAGGACGCTTGCAAAAATGTTTGACATGATCTCTAATATTTACAATCAAGCTAAATAACGACTATGTAACACAGTATGTTACAGACTGACCTACTAGGGTCTGTCATCTATTCATCACATACGTCACTCAAATTGCTTTCATGTGAATCATTCATGCACTATTTTTATCATCTGTACACTTGGTGTGTACGGCCATAATATAACGCGTGGTTTATGTCCGGTCAATGCGATCAATAACTCAAACAATGCGATGCAACACCGACGGGGCCGCCAGTTCAGCGCTCGATAATAATATTGAAATTTCTTTAGCTAATGGTTTGTCCTGATTTATCACATACACCCGCGGTATAGAGAAGGATGTAATGTTGACACGGGTCCTGGTGGGCATTACAACGCGCTAGTGAAAAGCTGAAGTGGGAACATTGTAAACATTGCATGACGGTGGCACTTAAGTGAAAGAGCGGGTGTTTCTTCGCACGGCTTTGCAATGTTTCCTCTATGTGGATCGAGAGTTAATGACCTACTATCGTGTGGATGAACACGTTTCATCCCATACACAGCTGAAGCACTTGTTCGGTTATTCATATTGATATGATGAATGTGGAATTAAGGTGGAATTGTGTTTTCGTTAAACAGTTTCAGCAGATGATATTTGCATGAGTTAAGAAGCACGAACATTCTTTCACTGTCATGAGCACATAAATTATGCAAGTAAAATTTAATGATGTTGATTGGAAAAAACAATGCGATGTTAATATCCCTGTAACACCTTCCGATAGTTTGTCATTGATACATACTGATAATAAGCACAAACAATGACAATAGAAGTACAGATGGGTTTTTGATTTTTATGAATGAAATATTAGATTAAGGGATATTTAGCACACGGTACGAAATATCTTTACATAGGGCGTGAATATAAGGTACAAATAGTTATTACGAAAATTTCAGAAATTTGAACAAACTTACTGTTTACCTATAACATTGTCATACAATTCACGCCAGTAACCAATTCTATACGAAGATATGCATTCAACGATTCGTCTAAAAACTAAGCATGTATATTTTCTTACAGGAATAACTAACTGCCCATACTGAATCAGGTTTAGTACCCGTCCGAGGCTATCATAAAGCGAACGTATCGTATACTCTTACGTATGAATGAACATAGCATACTTACACATAAGCGGACCCCAATATAAGTAATATAGCACACTTACATCTACGTGGAACCACATCGTCAACAGAACACACTTACATATAAGTGTAACAACATCACCACTACTACACACTTACACATAAGTGGACCCCACCGTGAGTACTACACACTTACAAATAAGTGGAACCCCACCGTCAGTACTACACACTTACATGTAAGTGGAACACCATCGTCAGTACAACACACTTACATGTAAGTGGAACCTCATCGTCAGTACAACACAATTACATATAAGTGTAACACCATCGTACAACACACTTACATATAAGTGGAATCCCATCGTCAGTACAACACACTTACATGTAAGTGTAACACCATCGTCAGTACAACACACTTAGACATAAGTGTAACCCCATCATGAGTACAACACACTTACATATAAGTGTAACACCATCGTCAGTACAACAAACTTAATATATAAGTGTAACACCATCGTCAGTACAACACGCTTACATATAAGTGTAACCCCATCGTGAGTACAACACACTTACATATAAGTGGAATCCCATCGTGAGTACAACACATTTACATATAAGTGGAACCCCATCGTGAGTACAACAAACTTACATATAAGTGGAACCCCATCGTGAGTACAACACACTTACATATAAGTGGAACCCCATCGTGAGTACAACACATTTACATATAAGGGGAACACCATCGTACAACACACTTTCATATAAGTGGAACCCCATCGTGAGTACAACACGCTTACATATAAGTGGAACACCATCGTCAGTACAACACACTTACATATAAGTGGAACCCCATCGTACAACACACTTACATATAAGTGGAACACCATCGTCAGTACAACACACTTACATGTAAGTATAACACCATCGTCAGTACAACACACTGACATATAAGTGGAACACCATCGTCAGTACAACACACTTACATGTAAGTGGAACCCCATCGTCAGTACAACACACTTACATATAAGTGGAACACCATCGTCAGTACAACACACTTACATGTAAGTGGAACCCCATCGTCAGTACAACACACTTACATATAAGTGGAACCCCATCGTCAGTACAACACACTTACATATAAGTGGAACCCCATAGTCAGTACAACACACATATAAGTGGAACACCATCGTCAGTACAACACACTTACATATAAGTGGAACCCCATAGTCAGTACAACGCACTTACATATAAGTGGAACACCATCGTCAGTACAACACACTCACATATGTGGAACCCCGTCGTCAGTTAAATACCCCTATCACATAATAGTGTAACTCCATTTTCATTACAGCACAAACATGTAAATATAACAGCACAACGCACTTACAAACAAGTGAAGCCCGAATAGCAGCACAACTGGCTAACAAATGAAGCATACAGATGTATGGATGACAACATCTTATTTATTGCACACAGCGACGTTTCGATGAGTTTCCAACGCCGTCATCAACCGAAAAGGTGTACGAATCTACATCGAAACTTGCCCTATAAGTGTGAACAAGTAGATGTCATCCATAATGTTGCGTGCTTCATTTGGACCCACCAACGTCCAGAATGCTGATCAAATAATTAACCGGCTTACACATGAACCCCATTATAAGTGCAGCGCAAATAATATATAGTGAACGGAATCATTTTCCACATCAATCAAGTATTGTCACAGCGTATGGTTGCAATCCCCTCCTAACAGTTTCTGTAGTTTTATAAGTCACATGTTACCAAAACTATCACCGGTTCACCTGCAAGTTCATATTATGTCTAATGTTCTTGCGTCACGCCATAACACTGTTTGCACATTTTCAACTGAATTCCAAAAGTCAGTCGTCTTACACTGTAACTATTCATGAAAGGTTTAGAGGGTCAGACTGACGTGGTTGACATGTCATCGCTTCTAACATATGATCATGTTGTCAATCACTATTTCTTCTGGTACAAACAAAGGAATTGTGATTACACAAGTACTAGAATCTGTACATTTTACCACTTTCTAAATTGCATTGTGTATTGATAGGTTTCGGCCGTGGGAGCCGTGCCAATTTACACTTATCAGAGGGGTACACAAAGTCCGCAGTCTAGACTACTAGTTGTCCGACTTCCATTTTCAGTCGTGGTGACTGAGCGGGTTAGGCGGCTGACTTTGTGTGCTGGCGATTAGGTGCCTGACTCTGAGGGTGTGGGTTTGAATCCCGCATGGGACTCGGCCCAACAAAGTACTAGAATCTGTACTTTACAAAGAAAGTGTAATCCCAAATATAACATATCTTACAAAGGAATTGTGTTGGGAAAATATAGAGTGGAGTAACATCTGTAGGCCTGATCGGGTCTGACATCGAACACCGACGGTGTGTTTAGTCTGTTCCTTGTAAATTATCGACAATGAACCAAAACAGCACTGGCAATATCTCACTTTGGAGATTCCCATTTGATTAAGTCTCTAGCAGCTCATGCTTTTCACAATAAGGGACTAATGGGTAGACAGACTCGAAATCATAGATGCTTGTTGTCACCGTGGCGTGGGGCATTGAACATGGTATCAATCACTGGTTTGACTCGATTATTCAACGGCCGCCGTTATATGACTGAAACATTGGCACGCGCAGCGTTGAACAGCACTATAGCATCTATTGTTTAAGCCGCACACGCAGCTTTTGAAATGAAAATGTTTCTTTTATCCATAATTATGTTTTGTGTGGAATTTATCAGTAATGCTAATTGTTTTTCTGGCAGCTGCCTTCCTCATCCCATACCTTCTGTTCATGATGACAGTGGCAATGCCTCTATTCTTCCTCGAAGTAATCATAGCTCAGTTATCTCGTCGTGGTCCCATAGGAGCATGGGGGTTATGTCCCCTTATGAAAGGTAAGTCATTCATCTGGTTGGTTTGATTGCCCGGGAGATTACGTGTTTGCTCTTAACGTCCGTAATATGGCGTAAATACTTCTATAACGGCCTATAACTGTACATACTGACGTTCTTTCTCATGGATATTTTCTTTTCAGGTGAAATTTGCGAGTTTTAGGAATAAACATGCATGTTAACCTGCCTTGAATAGTGATATCATCCCATGTGCACGCGGAAGAATATTTTGCTGATATCATTCCTATAACCTGGGGGATAGTATGTAAGAATATGCAATGGATCATCGGGAGAACAATGGTTTGTTTATTTCTGTGAGGCAATAAACACTCATATCACATTAAAGGGCTGTAGTATATTGGCAGGTGAGATTGGTCTAAGGAATGTACTATATTTTGCTGACACCCACCCACCCCCACTAATCCATCCCTAAAATGCTAAAGATCTCACCTTCTCCCAATCTCCCATATCATATGTCCAGTCAGTTAGTAACGTTTATGTGATTGGAGTATAGCAATGTAAAAACCATTTGCGATTGGATAATTTCAGGAATTGGGATATCCCAAGTGATTGTGTGTGGCATGATCGTCCCATACTATAGCATGGTGTTTGCCTGGTCCCTCTACTACCTGTACAGCTCCTTCTCCGCCATCCTGCCATGGACGACCTGTGGCAACTCATGGAACACACTACAGTGTGTTGTTCACAAAGACGCCGGGGCCAATGACACCGCCCTGCTGGACTCCAATCTCACCTATACTGAGACGGTTAATGTTACATTCCAGTCTGCAGCTGAAGAATTCTGGAAGTAAGAGGATTTGATTTGGAGAAACCATTTCCATGCAATCATTAATGTATCACACAGCAATTATTGAAATCATTGTTTATCTTGGAGTTATAAAACAAAATATTATGGATGTCAACTTCTTCTTGATTGCATATACAACGCTTCTGGGCTTTTCATTCATTCACTCGACGAAGGGGCAAGGAAAAGCTCAGTAAAGAAGTTGACATCCATAATATTTTGTCTTATACTTGAATACCAACTTCTATATGCCTCTCAAGAACCTTGGGGCGGTGGGGTAGCCTAATGGTTAAAGCGTTGGCTCGTCACGCCGAAGACCCGGGTTCGAATCCCCACATGGGTACAATGTGTGAAGCCCATTTCTGGTGTCCCCCGCCGTGATGTTGCTGGAATATTGCTAAAAAGCGGCGTAAAACCAAACTCAGTCAGTCAGTCAGTCTCAAGAACCTTATCTTGGACTTATTGACTCACATTTCTGTATATGTGTTTCAGTAACTACTGCTTGGACCTTTAAGAAGTTTAAGACGTTAACGCAGGATAAGTTAATGAGCACTAGCAGAATCGTGTTTCCTTAACTTCTTGTGAGTAGTATATGTAGATATAAAGACGTATATTTCGTTGTGTTTTTCAGGAGAGACGTGCTTCGTTTGTCATCTGGGCTACAGGACATAGGACCAATGCAACTTCATCTAGCGGGGGCCTGGTTGGCCACTTGTCTGATAATGTTCTTGTGTGTAATAAAAGGAATACGATCTGTTGGAAAGGTCAGACATGAATTGTAAATGTATATAACCCCATGTACTATGACATTGCATTACTCAGGATTCTGATTGTATATAGACGTAAAAACATATGAAACTACAATAGCAATGTCCTAATTGAAATATGCACATCGGCGTGCTTCTGAAACGAGCATGCATAATCCCTTTTCTGGCACTCGCAGTTTCTCAGTTTCTTTCCACCACTGTCAAATTAACAAGTAATATCTTTCTTCACAATAGGCTTTCTTTCTGCTTAATCGTCAATCTCGTTATGAATGCAATCATTTCGTGTAGTGTAATCTTAAATCAATATCAGCATTAGACCATAATAGTCGTCCAACCTATTAACGCGGAGCTTTAACATCGAATGGCACATGTCGAAGGGCACGTACTATCCCATGTTTTTTATAAACAAAAGGAGACAGAATGTCCATTTTCATAAGAAATAGCTGTAAAAAGAAGGGTCAGTCGTTCGATCGAATTTCGACTATATCATGAGCAGGTATATTTGAATCCCTATCGAATAGTGCGCCGCCATATACAGTATGACCAGAAATTATTGCGAATTTTAGGAATATGTTTAATTGGATTTCTAGTATAAACAACATTGACCAGCTATCAAGTGCTTGGTTTCACTCAAGAGAGACAACTCCGTTAATCCTCTTTCATTAGTTTGTGAAGAGTTATCCCTCTCTGTTTACTTGCCAGCAGACGACATTTTCAGTGATCCTCAGTATGGATGATTTAGAGAAGAGGAGGTTGATTTTAGAGTATTATAACAAGGACATCAGATCAGCTAAAGTGATTTCAAGTAGAACAGGCATGCCTTTGTCCACTGTTTATCGTGTTTTGAAAAATATTGCAAATGGATATGGCATTGAGCACCAGGGAGGCGCAGGTAGGCCCAAAAAATTGACTGTCGGTGACAGGAGGCGGCTTGGTATTCTTGTTTCTAAAAACAAACAAAGGAGTTTAGAACACTTAAGGCTGGATATGATTGATAGAGGAACTGTGGCTGTCTGTAAGGAGACAATTAGAACTGAGCTGCATGCAATGGGTTGGCAGAAAGGTCGAGGAATTCCATCACCGATCATGAAACCTGAACAAAAGGAGCGAAGGTTGAACTGGTGCTTACAGCATAGAAATTTTAACTGGGACAATGTGATTTTCTCAGATGAAAGTTCTGTGTGGCTGTTTCCTAATAAACTTAAAAACCTTTGTATCAGCGCCCAAGGTCCAGTCCGAAATTTGACGTGTGCGGTGGCATATCTGTGTTAGGGGCAACGCCCCTCTGTGTATTTGAAGGGAATATGAACAGTGAGCGGTACACATATATTCTCGAGGGTCATTTACTTCCATCTGCTCGCGTGTTCTATGGAAATGTTTGGATTTTCCAGCAGGACAACGACCCAAAACATCGTTCAAAGCATTCACAGGCCTGGTTTCGGACCCAAAATATGACATTATTAGATTGGCCAAGCTATAGCCCTGACCTAAATCCAATCGAAAATGTTTGGGGACTTATGAAGGAAAGTGTCAATAAGAAAAATCTGACAAATATTGCTGACATGAAAGAAGAGGTGGTCCAATATTGGGACAGCATGGACCACGACTTTCTAACTTCTTTGATCAGTAGTATGCCCCGCCGCATTGAAGCCTGCATTGCTGCCCATGGTGACTTGACAAAATACTAACTGTTCACCTGTCTTTGCCTGTCTTTGAATCTGGAGTTATGGTCTGCTAATATTCACATTTAATACGTGAGTAATGAGTGAAAAAAAAAATTACAATCTTTAAATTCTCAATAATTTCTGGTTGTACTGTAGCTGGACTGACTGACTGACTGAGTTTGGTTTTACGCCGCTTTTAGCAATATTCCAGCAACATCACGGCGGGGAACACCAGAAATGGGCTTCACACATTGTACCCATGTGGGGAATCGAACCCGGGTCTTCGGCGTGACGAGCCAACGCTTTAACCACTGCGCTACCCCACCGCCCCACTGTAGCTGGAGTATTGCTGAGTGCGGCGTAAAACTAAACTCACTCACTCACTATCGAATAGTGATGATGCAAGGTGTTCGCGAAAAAGTAAGCGTATCATGATCCATATGCTGCACCCATTACAAACATTTGCACAGTCAAATCAACTAATAGATGAAAAATAATTTGCTGTTGCTTAATAGTCTATGGTCGTTCAAATGAGGTGTTTTATGGTTGTAGGTGGTGTATCTAACGGCCCTGTTGCCGTATTTTCTGTTGCTGGTGATGCTGGTGAGGTCATGCATGATGCCCGGTGCTGTGGATGGGATTCTTTACTACATCAGTCCGGATTTTACTCAGCTAGCTAATCCACAGGTAACGTTCTCTTCCTTCCGGATATGAGAGTCACAGCTAACTTTCCTTCAGATACGACACGTCCACCGTACAATTAATATGGCGCATTAATATGTACATTTCCCTGCAGATATTACACATCATTGGGAAATGTATTTATAAATTAGGACACATGATTAATTAGGCATACCGTCCTTCAGAAATGGCCCATTTACAAACACAGTTACAGAATATGACACATCGACGGGAAAACCACTTTACTAATAGCAAATGATAAGACATTCAGATACCATACATTTTCGTTCATACCCGTGATGATCCGGGTTAGAATTGGTCCTCAACAATCCATGCTTGTCGTAAAAGGCGACTTACGAGATCGGGCGGTCAGGCTCGCCGACTTGGCTGACTCATATCATCGTATTCCAATTGCGTAGATGATGATGAGTGCAATAAACAACAAACAAAGATCCACAAGCTGAGTGTTTCACGTTGTAGGTGTGGCTCGAGGCACTGGTCCAAGTCTTCTTCTCAGTGGGACCGGCATGGGGCGCCATTCTCGCCATGGCCAGCCATAACCCTCCTCACAGTAACGCTGCATGGTAAGTGCAGCTGGTCATCCAGGAAGACCTTTCATATCTGAAATGATATAGGAGCATACACAATTACATGGCTGGCATGTTTAATAGTTCCTTTGGTCTGGAAGGCGTCAGTTTAATTTCACCTGTTTCGTTTTGTTAGGTTGCATTTGAAGTAAAAGTAAAATGATGTCATTTACGTCCTTGTGAATCTGTGTGCTACCGCTCTGACCAAATAGTCTGAATCACATTTGATGATGTGACATATCCGTTGACATTTACATATTCGACGGTGAAATATAAACCATGTAAACTTAAAGTTTCAGCGAGAAGTTTACTCTTTGGATCTTAGTTTCTAATGTATGTACTAATAGCGAACTAAGTCATAAAATGTAACATTCGGCCCTCCCTCCCCTACCCCCATACATGCCTTACAGTTGGTGAAGAGTTAACACTAAAACGAAACGAAACGAACAGTGAGCTAAAATGTTTACACGACGATCGAAGTTTTTTTAAGCACCATTTATCAAATGTATCTCCGCTAAACAAATGTGTGTTGTAAAAGTGGCTGTGCTATATCAGGGCTATCATATTAGATTCCCTTCCATTCTACATTTAGGGACGCATTCATAATAATCCTGGTGGGAGTTGGGACCAGCATGCTTGCAGGCGTTGTGATGTTTGCCGCCCTCGGCTTCTTGGCATTTGAAGTTGAAGTACCTATATCACAAGTGCTTTCATCAGGTAAAGTGGGCGTTCTATGTTGTAAGTACTTGGCACATGAGGTTAGAAGTATGTATAATACAATTGCTTTCATCAATTAAAGTGGGCGTTCTATGTTGTATGTACTTGACACATGAAGTTTTGACGTACCTATATCACAAGTGCTTTCCTTGTGTAAAGTATACGTTCAGAATCGAGTCGATGCCCACACTTCCATGACACTCACTCCCCTGTATCACTAATCTCTAATCTGGGGATTTTCTTAGGCCGTTAATCTCTAATTTAATCTCCAGGTCCAGGGATTGGATTCGTCGTGTACCCAGAAGCCCTGTCTTTACTTCCGGTTCCACAGTTATGGTCGGTTCTGTTCTTCCTTATGCTGCTTGTACTGGGAATCGACTCAATGGTAAGAGTTAGTGAAAAAACGTTAGTTCAGTGCCACTGGCCATGGTAATGAACAATACTCATTAGACTTAGCCCGTGAAACTAATCTCCACATTTAGCTTCTCTACCTTATTGATTGATCGAAAATATATATGCATTGTATTTTCGTTAATAGCAACGAATAACGGCTGGGTTTGGATGAGAGGTGGACAAGCCCACCCTTTTCCTTTTTAACTCTTTTTAATCATTTATTTCCTTCCTTTTCAATTTATTTAGGAAAAAAGCATATTATAAAATCTGTTTACAAGACATCCATGTGACCAAAGAAGATATTAACAGAGTGAAAAATAAATGGGAATTGCAAAGTATAATTGCACCTATTAGATCTAACTCTAGAGTAGCTATACAGTTTAATAATGACATTGATCTTACTATACATAGAACACTAGCGGATGAAAACGGTAATTATATTATAATTATCTATTATTATAGATGTAACCGTAGATGATAAACGGTTTATCCTTACCAATTTATGTGGACCTAATATTGGTGCTCCCAGTTTTTATTTTAAAATATTTGAAAACATCTGTAATTTTGACAATGAATCCGTAGCTATTGTTGGTGACTGAAATCTGGTTCTGGATCCTTCCAATGATTTGGAAAATTACAAAAATATTAACAACCCCAAGGCGAGAGATATAGTTTTAGACAAAATTGAATCCTTAGATCTGACTGGTATCTGACGGGAACTAAATCCTGATTTAGAAAATATACATGATGGAAAAAACCCTGGACAACAAGCAAGACTGGACTTCTTTCTAATTTCACAGGACATGTTTAATCTTTCACTAGATTCTGACATCACACCTGGCTATAAAACAGATCATTCAGCTATTAGCTTTACTTTTTCAAACACTATCAATCAAAAAAGAGGGAAGGGGTACTGGAAATACTACACTTCTTTACTTTTACATACCGAATATGCTGATTTAGCAAGATCAATCTTAAGGGAGACGACTAAAGAATACTCAGATATTGACTCTTATGTTGGGAATGTGAATGACTCAGATATCAAACTTAGATAGATGACAGCTTATTCTTAGAAACATTTCTGATGAAGGTCAGAGGTAAATCAATGTCTTTTTCATCTTATCTTAAAAAAGAAAACAAAGTACAAATCTAACGATTAGAAATTAAAATAAGAGTCTGTGAAGATACTATTAGAAAAGATTTTCAAAACGTGGATGAAGCCTTACTATCTGAACTTTCTAAATTAATATCAGAACTACAACAAATTAACGAAGAAGAGATCAGAGGAATTCAACTCAGAAACAGAATTTTAAGGTATGAAGAAGGGGAAACACCAACAAAATATTTCTGTCATTGCAATCTTAAATGAACTTAAACAGTTTATAAAAACGTCATATGTGCCAAAAATGGGAAACGTTATTTGATTGTATTGATTTTGATTGGCATATGATTTTTTATATTTGCAGAAAGGATTTAAGAGAAACTGTTAGGTTTTCAACATACATTTCTGCACGGAATTGTTTATACCAAAAAAAGAACTTTCTATAATGAATCTTGTTGACGATACAATATGTTCTTTTTGTAATGCTTCTGATGAGACCCAATGCCATGTATATTGGTAATGTGATGAAACCAAAACTTTCTGAAGAAACTTGAACAGTGGATAACGAAAACTATCCAAGCTCTTAATTTGACAAAAACTTTGATCTGGTTTGGCTTTATGGGTAAGAACCCATTAGTGAATCACATAATCATATCTGCTAAGAGGTATATTTACACTTGCTCTTTGAAAAAAAAACAATTAAAAAAGTTGATAGTTAGTTAAGGATAATGACTATTTAACCAAAACATATTACTTATATTGATATTAAATGTACTATCTCTCCACTGAGCCCACAAGCTGTTTTGTACACATATTTCTCTATATGCTTGTATTCAATTAATAATATCCACATCCATCAATATTTATTGCATTGCACCATCTGTGTTCATTATCCCTTCATCTACCTTTCCACTGGGTTCTTTACAGGTACAAGAAGCAACATGTCGTATACATCATTCAAATATTATGAATCAAGATTATCTGCTGAAACAGATTCCAGATAAAACGTTTACGTAGATCATCATAAGCAATGCATGTCAATAAAACGTGGTACTCATTTTCTACATAGTTACAGGAACACATTTCACACAATCTTAAGCTTTTTTATTTATTTATATATCTACCAGTTTCTATATTCAGTTGGTGTGAATTACACCTAAATTTTGCTAAGGCAGTACGAAATTTCTTGATAGTAAGGCAATGGGGATATGGTTCAACACCAAAAATAAATTTAATTTGAGAATATAAATACGTTTTTGAACCATTAGACAGCGAGGAGTCCCATTCCTGTAAATATATGTTTTGGGCTCTAGATATGAATTCATTTAATGAAAGGGCTTTCATATGCCCCTTCGGTATTTTCGGTTTGACAGCACCAAACTCATTTTCATGTTTTGTTTGATCCATAATATATCATTCACTGCCCCAGTACAGCTTTCACAATCTTTCACGGTAGACATGTGGAGGAAATTTCGTAATGTGACGCATCAGTGACAAACATGATATCCGGGGCTTCTCCCTGTTTGGAATGCCCCACGTGTTCCCGATATTTTTCAGGGGAATAATTGACTAGCCTTTGCATGTGTTTATGACTTGTGCCACAGGTGGGGCAGCATGCGCTTACCTGTTCGCAAACACTTTGCATCACGTACTTTGGTCTTGTTGGTACTTGGTAACGGATGTGTCGAACACTGTGATTAGTCGAACTTTTCCCTTGGTCCCGACGAGTTCGACACAACCGGGTTTGACTGTATGCGATAGTGAGTCATAAACAAGCTCATGATATGGCCTGGAATGTATAATTGACCCTACGGTGAGCAGACAGTTCTTGTGGATGTGGAAAGGCTATTGTCGCTTTTATTTTTACCAAAGTGACCAAGTTCTTCCCACTTGGAGGTGACACGCCAAATGTTGTTGCCGCCACTCACTGCATGCAGATGCTACCTGTTCATTCTTGTACGTATCATCAAATATTTCCACTGCCATGTATCGGCCTATTGTGGTGATGTTCGCCTGGTGGTGTTGATAAGGGTATCAACGTATGAGATGTATTGATTTATTGAATCAGTCCTATCACACAACCAATGCCAATGTTATGTGGAATGAACAACTGAGATAGGAGAAGTGGGTCTGACGCAATGGTAATGTAACGGTGTGTGAACAGTTACGACAGTATAAAAGGATTTACTGGCCCCTTTTGAAGCAATGTCCCAACTGGCAAGTAATAGTGAGGTTAAATGATTCGATAGTTCATGAAAGAAACGCATTGGTCCAAAAAGGAAACATATGAAGAATGAAATGCAGTCGGAAATTTCACGTAACGATTAAAATATTCATGTAGTTGTTATTTGTTTACAGTTTGTTACTATGGAGACAGTTGTCGTGACGCTGGAGGAATTGTTTTCCCGATTTCTACCCGGAACCAAATATCTTCATGGTCTCATGGCAGTGTTGTACGTCATCCTTGTCTTCGCCCTTGGTCTACCACTCACCACCAGAGTAGGTCAATTGTCTGTTTGAGTGTGTAAGCGTGTGCGTTTGCGTATGCGTTTTATTTGTTTTCATGCCACGCGAAGCAATATTCCAGCTATATGACGACAGCATGTAAACAATGGGTTTTTACCAGCCAAACCAGCACGTCATTTGGATCCGACGACACGATATGAACCCAGTCACCGAACCATAGAGTCGTATCCTTTTGCTAACCTTATACGAGCATAGTCGTCCAATCCTCACCCGGAATTACCATGAGGGCTACCATCTCAGAACATACTACTGCTCCCGTGTCAATCCAGATCCGTAATAACTCATCTTTGTGGTACTAAAGGAGCTACCCGTGAAGATCCGGGTTAGAATTGATCTTCAGTAACCCATGCTTATCGTAATGGGCGACTAACGGGATCGGGTGGTCAGGCTTGCTGACTTGGTTGACTAATGTCATCGTATCCCATTTGCGTAGATCGGTGCTTAAGCTGCTGTTCACTAGATTGTCTGGTTCAGATTTGATTTTATACACACCGCTGGAATATTGCTTTTTGCGGCGTTAAACAACAAACCAACAAACAGACTAAAGGAGCATGGTGCTCGGTTAATAGAGAGGGTCGGATACAATGATTACCCGATGTTGTGCCACCGTTCACAGATGTCCCGGATCGATGATCATACTTTCATTAATTTGTTTTCATGGTCAACTGGAATATTGCTGACTGCGACTTAAACACTCAGTTGGGGCTTGCTACCGCTTTAGCAATTTTGCAACATACGATGGAGAGTCAGAAAATTCATTGTACATTTCGTGGTTAGATAAAACGCACAAACTGTAACTCTTCACTAAGGTATCACCACTTCCCAGTTCATGTCATCTATTCACATTCTTGATACCGTGCTATAACACATGTGAAATCTGTATTTCTTTTAGGATAATATCAAATCACAAACACGATCAGAGACAAGCATCCCAGCAAGCGCATTTTATATTCGCATGTTTTACAGATCAGGATTTAGATCTTGTGACCATTGAAGAAAGAGCCCATGGTTTGGCGACGAAAAGTACACAGCTTGACAGAAATCAACGAGCTGCAATGCCCTCATATACTATTGACGACACTCCACCCTGTTCCGACATTGATTCACCCTAATATCTGCTGAAATGACTCATCGGATTTTGCTCAAGTCTTGTGAAATATGATGCTCTGGTTCAGTGTTACCTGGGCAAACATTCGGTTGCCACGCAACCCACAATCTTCCACTTTAACGCTCTTAATCGATTCGCCGACTTTGTTGTTTAGGTGTTGAACGACAAAGGTGAGGTGAGGTGAAATTGGGTTTTACGTCGTACTTGAGAATATTTCGCTCATATGACGACGTGCATGCGTGTGTGTATGTATGTGCGGCTGCTTGTACTAGCCCAGACTTAGCTGGTTTAATAGTGCTAGCCCACTGACATACCATGCCGCAGTGACGCTGACACATTAAACTGACTTCGAGCCGAACTTGTTGTACCCATTAATGCCGAGCGCCAGGCAGGGACCAACAAGTACCATTTTTTAACGTCTTTTGGTATGACGCGGTCGGGGATCGAACCCACGACCTTCCGCTCTCCGGGCGGACGCTCTAACCACTACACCACGGAGGCGGTCTGAACGACAAAGAGTGCCGTTGAATCTGACAAAATGACTGAAAGCCATTCCAAGAAAATCCCAAACACCCGCGTCAGGTCCCCTTGTGCCATGTCAACGCTCGCTCGCTACAACCTTAATGCCTTTCTTATGCATCACTCTATTGTTCCTGCAGTTGAGTGTGTGGCAGAATTTCACTAGCATTCTGAACAGCAAAACTTCCATAAACTGGTTTAAGTCCGAGGAGTCACTCGATTCCAGACGTTTATTTGTTTGTACGTTGACGCAACCCTCAACGCTCCAGTTGTATGGAGGGTTTGTGTAAATAATCCAATCTGCACCAGATAATCCAGTGATTGAGATCAAGAACATGCATCAACCTGACCTGACCCCTCGATTCCATAAGTTGCCTCAAGCAAGGCTTGCCAAAGACCAGTTCAGACAGTTCTGATTCCGGAAGTAGAATGTTCATGCGAGGAGAATATACAGATTTACATGATTTCTCTAGTCCATATTGTATTATAGTTGTGAGAGTCGCCGCGCTAAGATGTACTGGTGAATGGTAATATGTGACTGACAGAAAGAATAAATCTTTCAGGGAGGGATGTACATATATCAGCTGCTAGACTCTTACTTGGCTGCGGTCTCCTTACTCCTCATTGGGTTCCTTGAATGTGTCGTCATTGCCTGGCTCTATGGTAGGTATTGAAGTGACGGAGTGAGTGAGTGAGTGAGTTAGAATTTAACGTCACCTCGGCAATATTTCAGCCATATAGTGACGAGAAATGTTTTACATAAACAATAAATTAAAGTTGCTAAATAATCAGTCATCGAAGGAATGTAAAATAACTAGAGTATCACAGATGGAGTCTAAAACTAGCATGAACATGTAAAACTATTTTATTTACGAAGACAACACAATATAAAAACGGGCTATAGATCGCCAACAACTGAAGGTAGATCACCATACTAGCTATAGGAAGAAGTGACGGAGAAGCACCTTATACACTGTAGCTAGGATTAGTGAAAGCCGGAGAGCATATTTTCGAGGAATCGATCTCCACGTCAATCAGGAGATCAGTACGATCAGATGATCGATATTGTGGTATCAAATGAGAGTATTTTATGACTGCTTCATTCACTGTTTCAGAGAGCTTCTTGGTGGTTTGCTTTTATGATGCTTCGGGCAATTATTCTCGCAACAGCGGAGCCTCCGACATGATCCGCTGACTGCGTGTCAGTTTAAGCTATTAATGTGTCTGTATACACGAACGATGCATGTTGTTATATCAGTTACGTTAATATAGTGCTAGACGACTGGTTTACACTCCCATTCCGTGCAGTAGTTTATCATGGACACCCCACTCAAACCACTGATATACCATCCTATACCATGCTGTAGTTCATCATGGATGCCCCACTCAAACCACTGATATACCATCCTATACCATGCTGTAGTTTATCATGGATACCCCACTCAGACTACTGATATACCATCCTATACCATGCTGTAGTTTATCATGGATACCCCACTCAGACTACTGATATACCATCCTATACCATGCTGTAGTTTATCATGGATACCCCACTCAGACTACTGATATACCATCCTATACCATGCTGTAGTTATCATGGATGCCCCACTCAGACCACTGATATACCATCCTATACCATGCTGTAGTTTATCATGGATACCCCACTCAGACCACTGATATACCATCCTATACCATGCTGTAGTTTATCATGGATGCCCCACTCAAACCACTGATATACCATCCTATACCATGCTGTAGTTTATCATGGATGCCCCACTCAGACTACTGATATACCATCCTATACCATGCTGTAGTTTATCATGGATGCCCCACTCAGACTACTGATATACCATCCTATACCATGCTGTAGTTTATCATGGATGCCCCACTCAGACCACTGATATACCATCCTATACCATGCTGTAGTTTATCATGGATGCCCCACTCAGACCACTGATATACCATCCTATACCATGCTGTAGTTTATCATGGATGCCCCATTAAGACCACTGATATACCATCCTATATACCATGCTGTAGTTTATCATGGATGCCCCACTCAGACCACTGATATACCATCCTATTCCCTATGCTGTAGTTTATCATGGATGCCCCACTCAGACTACTGATATACCATCCTATACCATGCTGTAGTTTATCATGGATGCCCCACTCAGACCACTGATATACCATCCTATACCATGCTGTAGTTTATCATGGATGCCCCACCACTCAGACCACTGATATACCATCCTATACCATGCTGTTGTTTATCATGGATGCCCCATTCAGACTACTGATATACCATCCTATATCATGCTGTAGTTTATCATGGATGCCCCACTCAGACCACTGATATGCCATCCCATTCCATGCTGTAGTTTATCATGGATGCCCCTCAGACCACTGATATACCATCCTATACCATGCTGTAGTTTATCATGGATGCCCCACTTAAACCACTGATATACCATCCTATACCATGCTGTAGTTTATCATGGATACCCCACTCAGACTACTGATATACCATCCTATACCATGCTGTAGTTTATCATGGATGCCCCACTCAGACTACTGATATACCATCCTATACCATGCTGTAGTTTATCATGGATGCCCCACTCAGACCACTGATATACCATCCTATACCATGCTGTAGTTTATCATGGATGCCCCACTCAGACTACTGATATACCATCCTATACCATGCTGTAGTTTATCATGGATGCCCCACTCAGACCACTGATATACCATCCTATACCATGCTGTAGTTTATCATGGATGCCACACTCAGACTACTGATATACCATCCTATACCATGCTGTAGTTTATCATGGATGCCCCACTCAGACCACTGATATACCATCCTATACCATGCTGTAGTTTATCATGGATGCCCCACTCAAACCACTGATATACCATCCTATACCATGCTGTAGTTTATCATGGATGCCCCACTCAGACCACTGATATACCATCCTATACCATGCTGTAGTTTATCATGGATGCCCCACTCAGACCACTGATATACCATCCTATACCATGCTGTAGTTTATCATGGATGCCCCACTCAGACTACTGATATACCATCCTATACCATGCTGTAGTTTATCATGGATGCCCCACTCAGACTACTGATATACCATCCTATACCATGCTGTAGTTTATCATGGATGCCCCACTCAGACCACTGATATACCATCCTATACCATGCTGTAGTTTATCATGGATACCCCACTCAGACTACTGATATACCATCCTATACCATGCTGTAGTTTATCATGGATGCCCCACTCAGACTACTGATATACCATCCTATACCATGCTGTAGTTTATCATGGATGCCCCACTCAGACCACTGATATACCATCCTATACCATGCTGTAGTTTATCATGGATGCCCCACTCAGACCACTGATATACCATCCTATACCATGCTGTAGTTTATCATGGATGCCCCACTCAGACTACTGATATACCATCCTATACCATGCTGTAGTTTATCATGGATGCCCCACTCAGACTACTGATATACCATCCTATACCATGCTGTAGTTTATCATGGATGCCCCACTCAGACCACTGATATACCATCCTATACCATGCTGTAGTTTATCATGGATGCCACACTCAGACTACTGATATACCATCCTATACCATGCTGTAGTTTATCATGGATGCCCCACTTAAGACCACTGATATACCATCCTATACCATGCTGTAGTTTTATCATGGATGCCCCACTCAGACCACTGATATACCATCCTATACCATGCTGTAGTTTATCATGGATGCCCCACTCAGACTACTGATATACCATCCTATACCATGCTGTAGTTTATCATGGATGCCCCACTCAGACCACTGATATACCATCCTATACCATGCTGTAGTTTATCATGGATGCCCCACTCAGACCACTGATATACCATCCTATACCATGCTGTAGTTTATCATGGATGCCCCACTCAGACTACTGATATACCATCCTATACCATGCTGTAGTTTATCATGGATGCCCCACTCAGACTACTGATATACCATCCTATACCATGCTGTAGTTTATCATGGATGCCCCACTTAAACCACTGATATACCATCCTATACCATGCTGTAGTTTATCATGGATGCCCCACTCAGACTACTGATATACCATCCTATACCATGCTGTAGTTTATCATGGATGCCCCACTCAGACTACTGATATACCATCCTATACCATGCTGTAGTTTATCATGGATGCCCCACTCAGACCACTGATATACCATCCTATACCATGCTGTAGTTTATCATGGATGCCCCCACTCAGACCACTGATATACCATCCTATACCATGCTGTAGTTTATCAGACTACTTAGACTACTGATATACCATCCTATACCATGCTGTAGTTTATCATGGATGCCCCACTCAGACTACTGATATACCATCCTATACCATGCTGTAGTTTATCATGGATGCCCCACTCAGACCACTGATATACCATCCTATACCATGCTGTAGTTTATCATGGATGCCCCACTCAGACCACTGATATACCATCCTATACCATGCTGTAGTTTATCATGGATGCCCCACTCAGACTACTGATATACCATCCTATACCATGCTGTAGTTTATCATGGATACCCCACTCAGACCACTGATATACCATCCTATACCATGCTGTAGTTTATCATGGATGCCCCCTCTCCAGACCATCCGGTACACCATCCCCTCATATACAATGCTGTACCATGTTTATCATGGATGCCCCATTCAGAATACTGATATAACATCCTATATCATGCTGTAGTTTATCATGGATGCCCCACTCAGACCACTGATATGCCATCCCATTCCATGCTGTAGTTTATCATGTATGCCCACTCTCAGACCACTGGTATACCATCCTATACCATGCTGTAGTTTATCATGGATGCCCCATTAAGACCACTGATATACCATCATATACCATCTGTAGTTTATCATGGATGCCCCACTCAGACTACTGATATACCATCCTATACCATGCTGTAGTTTATCATGGATGCCCCACTCAGACTACTGATATACCATCCTATACCATGCTGTAGTTTATCATGGATGCCCCACTCAGACTACTGATATACCATCCTATACCATGCTGTAGTTTATCATGGATGCCCCACTCAGACCACTGATATACCATCCTATACCATGCTGTAGTTTATCATGGATGCCCCACTCAGACCACTGATATACCATCCTATACCATGCTGTAGTTTATCATGGATGCCCCACTCAGACCACTGATATACCATCCTATACCATGCTGTAGTTTATCATGGATGCCCCACTCAAACCACTGATATACCATCCTATACCATGCTGTAGTTTATCATGGATGCCCCACTCAGACTACTGATATACCATCCTATACCATGCTGTAGTTTATCATGGATGCCCCACTCAGACTACTGATATACCATCCTATACCATGCTGTAGTTTATCATGGATGCCCCACTCAGACTACTGATATACCATCCTATACCATGCCTTTAGTTATCATGGATGCCCCACTTAGACTACTGATATACCATCCTATACCATGCTGTAGTTTATCATGAATGCCACACACAGACCACTGATATACCATCCTATACCATGCTGTAGTTTACTATGGATGCCCCACTCAGACTA